CAGATATATTACTGTTTTAATTATTTTAACTCATTGGTATTATAATAATTCTCTTAGATACCCACTATTAAATTCATCCACTTAGTCAACTACTGAGATGATAAATTAAGTCCTTGACATACCATCAATATCCTCCTTTATCCTATCAACTCCCCTACTCAATCGACATCAAATTTTGTAACACAGCCAAAAAGAGATTGTTAAGTGCGTGACTGTCATTATGACGTCACTGAAAAACAAAAAATTCCATATCTTGAGTTTAGACTATCCCTAAAATGCATAATATATTGTCTAGAGCATAATGCAAAGGCCTGAAGAAATTTCAACCATTATGTCAAAGCAACAAAAGAAATGATCTTAGGACAGAATCATAAAAAAGAAAGGATGTAACTCTAGCAAAATATGTACCTTCTGTAGGCGCAAAACAACGAATGGGACAAATGTTAAAGAGAAATATAGTGGAAATGTTTTCCGGAATGTAGCTGATGCTGCATTTGCATTGTGAGCAAGACACGAATGTGTATCTGGATGAATAACAGAACATGGAACAATAGAGGGGAACTCTTCCAACTTCACGTTATTACAATTTCTACTTCTCAAATAAGCTGAAATAGATGCAACATCAATCGGGCCACCTCTGCAGCTATCCCTTACAGCCCTGTAGACAGGCTGTGCAACTGGGCCAGTCTTCTGAATAAAATCTTGATATGATTTTGGTAAACTCTCAGGGTGCATTATGAAGGCGTACATAACCTGAAATAAGTTCAATCCATAAAATAGAAAAAAAAGATGTAAATGATAAAGTTCTATTGTTTGGTAAGGTGCGGCAATATGGAAAAATACCAAAGTGAATAAAGAAACTTTGTTCTTAAATCTTTTAGGGTATTTTGCATTTGTTTTGTCCAGGATCTGAACATTTAGATATTTTCCTTATAATTTTGATTTTTATTTATTTGAATGAGAAAGTATCTTTCTATCAAATCACGTAAGTGCGAAATATATGCATATTTCTCAATCACTACTCACTAACATAATCATATAGCACAGCTGATAAGTGGTACAACGTAGTTTTGTTTGAAAAGATCAAACGTAGAGTACTTAGATTACTCACAACAAAAGCTCTAAATAATATCGTTGAATTCTATTAAAACAAAAGATCAAACGTAGAGTACTTAGATTACTCACAACAAAAGCTCTAAATAATATCGTTGAATTCTATTAAATTATATCTAAAACTGTTATAAATGAGTCTTTTTATACTGTTTATAACAAGAACTTGACTAGAAATAAAAATCCTAAGAAACTAAGAATTTAAATAGAAAGAGAAAATCCTAAGAAAACTAGAAAACTAAAATAAATCTTAAACTTGAACTAGAAAAGACCAAAATAATAAAATAATAACACTTAGAATTGAATTAGGAATAACACTTTGAATCGAACTGAGAAAAAGTTAGCTGCATCAATCCCCTCCTTTTGAAGAAAACTCATTCCCGAGTTTTATGGTTTACAAACTCATCAGGAAAATAGCACTTAAAAATATCAGCAATATCGAAAGTATTGGAGATATTTATATAGGCAAGAAGATTGAAGAATCCAAAAGGGACGAATATTTTTGTCCTTCAGCTTATTGTAAGAACCTACTGGAAAATGATGTTTACAAAGATGAAGAATCACTAAATCACCTTCTTTGAATATCTTAAGATGTCTATGTCGATCGGCAGCTGTCTTATAATGTAAATTTGCATCTTCCAAATTCTGATTTCTTGGTGATCTGTTGTACACGCTCTGCAAGTTTCTCTACACTAGGAATGACATCAGTAGAGAGATGAAGATGACTCAAATCAACCGTATATTTTGGAGCATTGGTGTATGTAGACAACTTCAAAAGGAGTTCTCGGTATTACCCACTTCAATTTGTCCATCAGTCTACAGATGACTAGTACTACTATACTTCAAAGAAACGTTAAATAATCTCCCACAAAGTCCAACAAAAATGACTTAGAAATTTCGCATCTTGTTCAGAAGTAATGGAATGGGGAACACCAAGCAAACAAATAATTTTCCAGAAGAACAAGTCCACATAAGAAGCATCTGAAATTTTCTTACAAGTGAACTAGTTTTGAGAAACGATGAACTATGACAAATACTGAATCAACACCTCGTTGAGTCTGTAGCAAGTCAAGAACAAAATCTATAGTCAAATCTTGCCATATTCTCTTAGAAACAGGTAGAGGCATATAAAGACCACTATTTTCAGCTTGTCCTATGGCCTATTGATAGATAGGACAACATTAAACGTAATGCCCTACATCACTTTTAAGTTGAGGCCACTAGAATCTTTCTTCTACCTAATTAATTGTTTCACCTGTGCACGCATCCCCTCCTAAGCCTCTGACATGCAATTCCCAAACTAAATGTTCACACAAAGAAAAGTGAGGAATACATAACAGCATAACTTTGAATAAAAATCCATCTTGAATCATGAAATCAACAACAAACTCTCCATTATTGCATCACGCCCAGATGTTATCAAAATCTTCAATATCCTTCAAATAATTGAAACCCACGATCTAAGTACTAACTGTAGCTAGTGAAGAGGGTCGTTGGCTTTATGCATCAGCTATTTTATTCTGTTGACCAGACTTATGCCTAATAACAGAAGTAAATTTCTGCAAGAAAGTAACCCAACCAGCATGCATCCTATTCACTGTTGTCTAAGATTTAATGAACTTTAAAACATAATGATCCATGAACAAAACAAACTCTCGTTGGATCAAATAGTGTTCCAATGCTTTAGAGCTCGAACTATTGCATAAAACTCAAGTTCGTAGGTTGTCCACTTTTGACGGAATTCGCTAATCTTTTCACTGAAGTATTCCACTGGGTGGCCTTCTTGAGACAAAATAGCTCCAATTTCCAATTCTGATGCATCACAATCAACTTGAAACACCTTCTCAAAACTTGAAAGTGCCAATACAGGTCCATTACACAACTTTGCTTGATCAAAGCAAATCGTCTTCTTGAGCCTTTACCTACTGAAACTGGCATTTTTCCAAACAATCGGTGATAGCTGTCATGGTAGTGCTAAAACCTATAATAAAAAGTCTATAAAAGGTAGCCAAGCCATGGAAACTTTGCACATCTCTCACTGTTTTAGGGGCTGGCTATTCTTGAATGGCCTTCACTTGCCCTCATCCACCTGAATACCATCTTTTCCCACAATAAATCCAAGCAACGAGAGATGATCAGTCATAAAGCTCTTCTTAAGATTCATATACAATTTATTAGCCTGAAAGGCAGTAAGGACTTCCCTGATATGCTCCAAATGCTCATCCGCATCTTTATTATAAGTAAGGATATCATCGAAACAAACTATGACAATTTTGCTAATAAATGAGCAAAAAACCTTATTCATGAGCCACATAAATGTACTCAGCGAGTTAGATAACCCCAAACGACATTACTAGTCATTCATAGAGGCCATGTTTGCTCTTGAAATCCATCTTTTACTCATCGCTAGGATGACTACGGATCTAGTGATATTCACTTCTTAAATCAAGTTTAGTGAATACTAAAAACACTTTCTAACCTGTCAAACGTATCATTAAGGCATAGAATAGGGATGTGATACTTGATCTTTATTTTGTTGATGATACAATTGTCTACACACATTTGCTAATTATCATCTTTCTTAGGAGTTAATAATATAGAAACAGCACAGGGATTCATACCTTCATGAAGTTATCTAGCAACTCACTGTCAGGTTATTAATGGTAAAAAAGAGAAATAACAAAAGAGAATGGTAAATTAATCTTTTATGTAACATTTAGGGTTAGGGGTAATTAACCCTAATCATCTCTTTTTTCGCAGCCACCATCTCATCCTGCGGCTGCTGCTGCGCGCTTAACGGTCGCTTGATTCCGGCCGCTGATATTGCTTGCTTTATTGCTTTAAAGCCTATAAAGGGCTTGCTTTCATGGCTTGTAAGGAACAGAAAAAGTAATAAAATTAACTATCTATTTCTCTTCTGGACTTCGGTCTTCTCTTCTTCTTCTTCTCCTTTTCTTCTTCATCTTTTCTTCTTCATTTGCTTCAAATCAGACAACCATGTCAAAGACTTCTGACACTCATTTAATTATCTCTACAATTCTTCATGCTTAAAAGACAGAAGCCTTTCATTGATATTCTTTCTCTCTAAAATTTCTCTCTAACTTTCTGTTCGTCTCGTCCTACGGCCGACGAAACCAAAGGATTCCCAATGAAATCTTACGATCGAAGATTTATAGCCATTGAAAGCAAATCATTTGATTTGGTTTGTGAATGTAGGAAAGTGGATTGTCTACAAATTAGCGAAAACGGACGAGGTTTCTGTCGATTGATCTATCTAGACAAATATGAATACGCGTGGCTTCTTGACGCACTTGATGAGTTTTGGTGGAGAAGAAAGCCGAGAGTTTGGGCAAAGCATCTAGTGAAGAAAAACTACGAGCTGTGGTTTTCGTTTGAAAAGAATAGTCAGGGGGAGTATTTGGCTCTGACGGTACATTGAGACCGTTAGTTGAAGAGAATTTTCTTACCAAATGGAGCGGAGGGGAGAGGATGGCAGAAACTACTGGTTGCAGTGTTTGAGTTCACAGACAAACCGATCAAGAATCAGAAGAAAACTTCAATGAGCAACCAAACAAAGGAAGCTTGCTCCAGGTAACACATACATAGTGTGGCGAATGAGGTAAGCTTGCTCCAGGTATCTGGTAGGAGGCAATTCATTAAGTTAACTTGCTAGAAGATAAATCAGCAAAATCAAAAATTAATTCCTAGACTCTGATTGGAATTTCTTCCATTGTGTCTGGTTGACTATTGAAAACTAATGCTACCACAAAATTTGGCTCCTTGACCTGCTCAAAGAACTCCAAACCTACAATAGTAGTGAAAAATGAGCTATCCTCTTTTGTGGCAGGATTACCATCCCTTGATGGACATTGCAGTTCTAAAATGATCTTACTATCATGCCACCAAATGATAAAAGTATTATCTCATCCTTTATAGGTAACATCAAAAACATATTGTCATGGTCTTCTTAAGAGAATATGACAGGTGTCTGTATCTACCACGTAACAGCAATTTCATCCTTATAGTATTTCCCTATCGACAAAAAAAAACTTCGCAAATTTTACCATCCCTTGATGGAGATTGCAGTACTAAAATGATCTTACTATCATGCCACCAAATGATAAAAGTATTATCTCATCCTTTATAGGTAACATCAAAAACATATTGTCATGGTCTTCTTAAGAGAATATGACAGGTGTCTGTATCTACCACGTAACAGCAATTTCATCCTTATAGTATTTCCCTATCGACAAAAAAAAACTTCGCAAATTTTACCATCCCTTGATGAAGATTGCAGTACTAAAATGATCTTACTATCATGCCACCAAATGATAAAAGTATTATCTCAGCCTTTATAGGTAACATCAAAAACATATTGTCATGGTCTTCTTAAGAGAATATGACAGGTGTCTGTATCTACCACGTAACAGCAATTTCATCCTTATAGTATTTCCCTATTGACAAAAAAAAACTTCGCAAATTTTACCATCCCTTGATGGAGATTGCAGTACTAAAATGATCTTACTATCATGCCACCAAATTATAAAAGTATTATCTCATCCTTTATAGGTAACATCAAAAACATATTGTCATGGTCTTCTTAAGAGAATATGACAGGTGTCTGTATCTACCACGTAACAGCAATTTCATCCTTATAGTATTTCTCTATCGACAAAAAAAAACTTCACAAATTTTCACCACTCGAACTTTTGGTCCTTTCTTAATTCATGCTATCTTGTACAGAGATGGATGTTTCTTGATTGCCAAGTTTAAAGCTTTCACCAAAAATTTAGAAAACACATTCTCACTACTCCCACTGTCAATAATCAAATTACACACTTCATTCTAAATAGTATACGTGGTTCAGAATATTTTGTGTCATTGAGAATTATCTGCCTTTTTGGGAACAAGTAACATTTGTTGAATAATGCATGTCACTTCTTCCCCAACATTTCCCTCCTTATTTTCAGCACCCATTTTAAATACCTTCTTCGAACATTTGTTCTTCTGTACCACCGCCTTCTTCAGCAAAGTTAACAGCTCGCCTATTTGGGCAATTGTTCGAGAGATGACTTGGTTGGTTGTAACAGAAGGATTTCCCAAGATTAGGCCGTGCATTAGGATCATTATTGATTCGTTGTTGCTGTTGATTTCTACCCCGGCTAGTGGACAACATGGTGAAAGAAGTTTTGCCTCGAGTTTGTGTCGAACCCTAGTCTGAAAAGACATCTTTCATAGCGCAATAACTGCTGCCAAAAGCCACTAAACCCCTTGAGCCGGAAAATTTTTCTTGACTTGGTCGTCTAAACCTGTCATGAGGACACGCCAAACACTTATTAATCTAATTTTCCACCTTTGTTTTCAAATCAACTGCATTTGACATGGTCCAAACACCTTGAAGAGCAAAACGATCTTGAATCACAAGCTTTAAGCCTCCAATATAGCAAGCAATGAATTAATCCTGTCTCTTATAAATTAACACGAGCATTTAAACAATAAAAGTTCTTCGTGTATTCGTTCACAATACGAGTAGGTTGCCTACAACTTTGATATTGTTGGTATAAAAATTGCTCGTAGTCTGGAGTTAAAAATTGCCTTTGAAATAACCATTTCATCTTGGGCAAGGTACGAACACGTTGTTTTCTTTGGTGTTGACGATTAAATTGAAGTTGTTCCCACCAAGCAGAGGCATAACCTTTCAGTTTATATACCACGAGCTTTTAATTGATTTTCCTCTGCAATATTCAAATAACCAAAGAAATTTTCAACCGTATGAATGCAATCGATAAAATCTTCAATATTTAACCATTCATTGAAGTTGGACAAAATCCATCTTCATCTTAAATTCATAGTTATTAGATGTTGTTCATTAGCTTGATACTTGAAACGAAAATCATCGTCTTCACCCAATGAGTAGTCCAAACCCCACGACTGTCTTTAACAGAGGTTTCGAGGTTGCTGATATCGTAGACTGTCTCTGTCACGTAAAGGTAGGAAATGCCCATATAGATTTTCAAAATTTCGGGCAAAATTCAAAAACCCGCTTCTGGAAAATCTTGTCTAGGTCTAGAAACACCGTTGCCAGCTGCCGAGGGGACTCACTGGTGACCATCCACCTCAAGTTGCCCCTATTTGCCCTGTTGTCATCACTAGTAACCCCGTAGAGGAGGTGGATCTCGCCAATCGCGGAAGACACAATTTGGTTCACGATTTCTGCAATGATGTTAGGTTGTGTCGGTTTCCAACTGATTTTGCGACCAGCAACAATCAATGTCACTGTTGGAGGCTATCCATCAATCACCCCTAATTGGGTCAACGTACAATAGTGCCCCAGGAGGAAGATCCGCATGATCTGTTTTCCTAGGGTTTCACGAGAACCTGTTTGCGGCCATCTTCTGTCTCACTATTGTTGAAATCAAAGTCATTAGATTTGTGTCATTCATCATGCAGATATGGTCGTTGGTGTTCAAGTTTGCATCTATCTTGGGTAGATAACGCAACTAACATCTACGTTATATGCCAAAGAGTTTCATCAATTCCATTAAATCTCTACTCGATATTTTTGAACCTTTGTTCACTAGAACCATCCTTGGTCATCAGATTAAGGTGAAAATCCTTGCTCTAATACCTGCTCTAATACCAATTTTGTGCAGCGGATGGTTTGTTTGAAAAGATCAAAGGTAGAGTACTTAGATTAATCACATGATAGGCTAAAATTTTAAAGGAAAACGTTGAATTGTATCAAGTTATATCTAAAACTGTTACAAATAAGTCCTTTTATAAGGTTTGTAAGAAGAACCCAATCAAAAATAGGAAATTCTAAGAAACAAAGAATCTAATTAGAAATAGGAAATAGTAAGAAACTAGAAACTAAAATAAATTTCGGACTTGAATTAGAAAAAACCAAAAATAATAAAATAAAAACACTTAGAATTGAAGTAGGAATAACACTTAGAATCGAACAAGAAAAAGTGTGCTGCATCAATAAGAACATTTGTTTATTGAGAGGAAAGGATATCCAGAAGCAAAAATCACATGCAAAATGGTAAAATAGCAATAAGCCAAGGGGGCAAAAAAAAATCATCGAAAGTTGCATTAGAACGACAATATAGCAGAACCAGGAGTTTAAAGTAAGGCAGAATGACTTTCCAAATCCTTTTACTACCATCTTAGTTCATATCTCCTTTGAAATTTCTACAGAAGCAAGAGCCCAAGAGTTTGCTTAAGCATAACATTTAACAACTCAGCTTGAGCTTTAAATTACCTGGGCGCATGCAAAAGCAAAGAGCAATGAATCCCCATGTCTCCAGTGGCTTCCCCAAAGGTGAAATTTGTTGTTATACTTTGCTGAATTATAAGCGCACTGGAAGTAGATTAAACATCGTGTCAGACAAAAACCCAAATATCTGGATGCCTATAGAAAAATAGCAGAGTATGAATAAGTAAGATACCTGAGCTAACCTAGCTAAGAGGTATAGAGCAAGTGTGCGCCTCCTGTTGGAGTCATCTAAGGCCAAAACAGACAAGCCTGCAACTGAACCTGCTAAAATTCTGCTCCATCACCCCCTTAAACAGAGTCATAAATAACGAATAGGCTCTATCATGATCAAGAGCTTAAAAGCATTTCAAGCATTCTCTCAGATAAAACAGAAAAAGAGAAAGGGATGATAAATCAAAAATTAAATGCCACAGAACGACAGTTTATTGCCTACAGTAGCAAACTTACGCATTCAGTGGTGTCTCTTTCTTTCTCCACTTCCTCAAAAAACATCTGAGAGCATGATAAGACCCAGTGAATCCACCAAAAAGCAAGCCAATACGGCATGCTTCTTCTCTCACTATCAAATCTTTCTCTGAAACAAGTTGCTGCAAACAATACACAGGTGTTTATAAAGCATGCATAGAGATAATCCTGCGTTTAAAAAGCTTCTGGGTACACATGCCAAACAGTTTCAGAGGGGAGTTGGAAAGGTATGCAAAATTCTTTGAAAATATTATCCAGGAATTGTTGGCCTATGGTAGGTTTTACGAGCATCAACTTATCAAACAGCCCAAATAATTCCATGACTATAAATCACGGCAGCAGTTATAATCTCCAAATTCTAATTGGATCCAAATATCTTTCTAACCTATCGATATCAGTCCAATGAAGAAACAGAATCAAACAAAGAACCGTGATATACAGCCACAGAAATTATCATCAACTTATATCAACATACTATTTTCGCCGTCTAATCAAAAGACGCACTAATATATGTCATTTCATGTCAAAGTTGGCACTGACAAATTGCCTCCATTAAATAGCATCAATTTCCCTAACCCATACCAGTAACCACATCTCCAAAACTGCAACCAAACATCCTCCAAATAAAACAAAACAACCAGAATGAGCCTATCAATTTCGGAACTGCCAAATCTTCACCAATGAAGCTAGAGGAATGCAGGTCCTGTAGCAATCTACCTCACCCCTATTCCACCCAAAAGAAAGCACAACCACCATTTCTTTCGAAATTCCCACCAAAACCTACCAGTTATTTACCTTGAGATCGAGGAGCGAAGAATAAGACTGTCCTCGGGCGAGCTTGAAAGCACGAAGAAGAATCCCAATTCCGACCCTGACACCGTAGGAAAGAAGGAAACTCTGACAGAGATTCCCGATGGCGTTTGCTACGCAAGAGACGTCAGGATGGTCACAGAGCTGCGAGTGAGGACCGCGCGCCGCCGTGCGTTGACGGCGCTGCAGCTCCTCTATGGCTTCACGAAGCCTCTCCTCAGCCTCCCGCAAACGGCGCTCCGCTTCAGAGCTATCCTGGGGATTCTGCTGGTGCGGCGGCGGCGGCGGCGGCGGCGGCGGCGGCGGCGGCGGCGGCGAGGAGGCATCGTGGTGGCCCCTGGAGAGAGAGGATCGCATTTTGCTTCCGAGGTTAGCTTATGTTGGAGCAGTCATGAAGAGAAGAATACAAGGGGTCTAGCATCTGCGAGAGAGACGACGTGAAGAAGAAGGAAATGGGAAGAACGACACAGAGAAAGGGAGGGACAGAGAGAGGAGGAGGGAGGGATTTTTTTTCTTTATTTTTTTTTTTAAATTAAAGTTAAATAGTAAAAGTAATTATTACGTAATAAATAAAGTACAGTCCAAGTGGCAAGTAGTGATATTGTTTTTTAGCCTTTCAGATGAAGAAAGGATGATTGGATAGGTCGTCGGGACTGAGTTGGGCGGTGACGTAACGGCACAAAGACCATCCATTTGCTTATTTCGGCGCGCGTGAACTACAACCGTTCCTTCTCGGTGAACCCGAGAAATATACATAAATAAATTTAGGACCCGAAACCCATATATATTTTTTTATTTTATTTTTTGAACTTGTTGAAAAATAATAATTTTATGCCATGATGCGCGCAATTATTTTTTAATTATATAAATCACTTTTCTTCTTTTGATAAATATTTTAATTACAAAAAAAAAAAGAAACCTAATTTGATATTGGTGAGTAATAGTGGGTTTTTAGAAATGTGTAATCAGCACTTAATAAATAAATAAATAAAAATTAATCAAAAATTGGGATTATGCTAAATGATATTGTTACTTAGTGTTTAAAACACTTAACAAATTAGGTTTTAGTTAAAGTTCTTTTCCTACAATTCCCCATATATTAAATACAAATATGTATTGGTTAAACCAAGAATTTTAGATATTCAATTTAAAAAATTAAAAAAAAAAAATAGCATCCAAAATTTAGCTCTTTTATGAAAGTAAAGGCAATTGGTTGAATTGGGTATAATTTCATATAGTTTATTTTTCTTGCACGTCAATTATTTAGTTAATCTACTTTTTCAAACGTATAGTAGCAATATCGTTAATTTGTAATAATTAATAAATTCATAAATATATTTTTTTAATTACTTCAAGTTCAATTTTTTATATAATTTAACATTGAAAAGATTTACAAAAAGAAATGCAAGGTGCGTGAATCAAATCTCCTTTGTATTAACCTTCTTAAGTTAGACAATCATTACCATAAAGCAATCAACCATATTGACACCATCTGATATGGTAAAAAAGCAAACTATTCCAGGAATCGGAGGATTTGTAAGTAAAACCTCATGGCCTAACTCTAAATTTATGCAAATCTCATGTATTCGCCCTCGATATGCCCCTGCAAATCCACGAGATTGGGGTTAGTGCATTGCCCCAAACTGATGAAAAACTCACATCGTATAGGCTGCCGAAGCAGATGGATGAATTTATCTCGGTATCGTGCTTGATGTGATTGGATTCACTGGTTCAAATTCAATCGGAGATACCAATTTGATATGCTTTGATTAGCTTTCATCTATGCTTAAAGCAAACCAGAAATGGACCCAACAAATTCTGGGTTTAATACCAGGTTCAGGCTTTTGCAGCTGTATCTACAACAATAATACAATCTTATATTGCCAAAAGTTACATTGGGTTCGTGAGAAACAGGAAAAATCACTACATTTTGTTTCCAGTTTCCTCAGAATCAGCGGTGCTTATTTCGTCTTGAGTCTGCCAGGAAGCTTGCCACTGCTTGTCATAATCAGTGGCCTCATCAGCAAGCTTTCTCAGGTTTTCAAAGTCTTCTCTCTGTCTGAAAAGTACTATGCAGATGACAGTCACAAATACACCTGCTTTGCATATGAAATTGCCAGTTTGGCCAACCACATCCAGCCTTGTCAATGCGTCCACAACATACGCCATGAAGAATCCCACCATTGCAGCTCGACCTGCAAAAAGTTCATGTCTTTTTAACACTTGAACGTGTTCAGAAGTAGGCTATAATATGAAGTTGTTGACTTGAGCAAAGAGAGGTTTTCTTTTTGAAGTTTTTTGTTTTAACCATTGAGCAGCTCAGCTTCCGGTAGATATGATCTGGTGAGCCATGCCCACCATGGTATGACAGAGCTCCTGAACAGCACTGGTTCTTGATTGGTAGCTGTTTCTGGGTACAGTTCAAGAAACTTCCTCCTCCTTGCTTCTACAAAACCAACATATACAAAATAAAAATTTATAAATAATTTTTTTTTTATTGAACTTTTATTTATAATATTTAAATTACAATATTTGAATATATATATATAAGAAAAAATTTTAATAGAAAACTAAATATAAATCAGTCATATAAAAAAAAAAATATCTTTTAATCATAGAAGTCAGATTACAATTTGTATAAACATTGAATTTTTACAAGAAATCGAATTCCTACAAATACATATTTATATGGGAATTGAACTTTTATGATAAGTCAGATTTCTACACAAAACAAACCGGATGGTTATGAATTTTGTTTGGTGAAATTTTGGACTGTCTGCCCAAATCCCAATCCTATATTGCACAGATGTAGATCAAGAAAGTTCTCCATCGCTGAGATCTTAAGAGGTCACAGTTTTTTATTTATGATTATGAATGCCCTGAAATACGTAGCAAAAAGTTCAGGCCATGTTTAGTTGTAGAAAACTATTGAGTTTCAATCTTTGAATTCTTCTATGTTTTTCTTAGTTAATGAAGAAAAGGAAAATGAAAAAGCTTGATTTGGGAGTGAGAGATAAGATAGTATGATCTGAGAAACATGATTTTACTATTTTCAAACTCATTACTATATTTTGTGTGCTAGTATATAAGAATTTAGAAAGTGAAAATCAAAATAGTTATCCACAATTAAACAGGGCCTTAATTTCCAATTTCACAAGTAAAACTAAAGCATCACTAAAGTTAAATAATTCACGCTGACGAGGGATTATTAACCTGCAACAATCAATGAATTCCAATCCATCTTTCCATTCTTAACGAACATATTTAAATCCCATGTGCCTTTCTTCCAGCATTCATCGCTGAACTTTGGAGCAGGATATTCTGTTTCCAACCTCTGCTTCAAGACATTATCTCCATCATTCGAAGTATCAAACTGTAATGGAGACTTCAAGATGTCTTTTTGGCCTTCGACATTTGTGACCTGCTTTGTTGCCACAGAGCGGCTTAGTCTTCCTCTAGGCTGTTGTTTCTTGGTGTTAATATGATGTGAACTGCTGCAAGCTGTTTGCAGTGAGGCTGAAATGGAAATGGAAGCCATTGTTGCTCCTAGAGGCAGTCCTTTATGCTATTCATAGTTTTCCTGACTTAATTTTAAGGGATATGGAGCAAGATAAAACGCCCATACCTTACAAATAAGCAAAACTGTATTCTCACATGTTTTGTCAGTATGGTTATGGGCAACTTTTTTCTTTATCTTATCTGCTTATTTTTTTTACAATCCCTTATTTTCTGAAATGTTTTAAACCATTATAAGTTTGTAGCGTTGTGGAAAAGGAATATCACCCATCTGTATCAGTTAAGCAATTACCGACATTTTCATAGATACGATCATCAAGTGAAACTGATAAAGATGATTCTATAAACTTGAAAAATTTCCCTCATTAAAATACTACATAAAAATCAATATGACTGCAAAATCTAAAAGTAAAAGATCCTAGGATGTCTATTTAAAAAAAAAAAAAAGAAATATTCTAAGATGTCTCTTAAAACTGCTCCTACAAACCAGTCACTGATAAAGGGGAACACAATTGAAGAAAGCAGTTTATGCTTCCCACCCTCTTAAAACAGTAGCACGAGCAACTCGGTTTACTCCAAGAGTGAAGGCGCCCATCCGGAGATTGCATTGGTGTGATTGACACATGCTCTTGATGTTATGGAAAGCTTTAGTCATGTATATCTGAAGCTCTTTGTTGACCTTCTCCTCATCCCACATAAAACCTTGAATGTTCTGCAAAATTGATCAACAGGTAACTTGTTACAACAGTTGCATCCAATCAGCCTCATTTCAATTTGCCAGTTTTTATCTCAGCTTCCAGCAAAGTACGTGTATCTTTTCATAGACAAATCAATGTAAAATGGCCAAATACAGAACAGATACCGGTTTTTATGAAATTACAAGTTTACCATTAGAAATCTAATAATATTCAAACATTACAGAAAAAATTTTCCAACAGCTAATATTTTTGCATGCATCACTCTAGTTTTCTAGTGATTCCATTCTAACAATCTTATTTCATTAGTTCTATTACCTGAACCCACTCAAAATAGCTGACAGTCACTCCTCCCGCATTTGCATATATATCCGGAAGTATTACGACCCCTTTCTTTGACAGAATCTGCAATAGAGTAAACCTTGTGTTAAATTTGAAGTTGGTATATGTGGAATCCCAAAAACCTAAGTGTGTGATGTTACCTCATCTGCTTCTGGATCAGTAGGATGGTTCGCTGCCTCTATAATGAACTTGGCTTTCACATCTGCAGCGTTGTCCCTTCAAAGAGCAAATTGGAGATTTAATTGAATCAGAGAGGGAAGCACGAGAAACACGTGACTGATTTGAAATTAGGTTCAAGAGATCAATTTTCAACTAGGTAATGACACCGGTTCATCACATAAAAGCCAGCTTAAAAGTTGAATTACTTGACTAAGTTGGTTCGTTAAAATGTAAATCATTTTATGTTTGTCCATTCATCTTTATATGGAAAATAAATTGGTGTCTGCAGCAAAAAGCAATCATCGACAAATAGCTCACTTCTGTATGCTATTATAAAACAAAATTATGTTGTTAGACAATTCCATTTCTGCTTAAGGAGCAAGGAACTAGTTGACTGGAAAAAGAAAAGGCCAAACCTGTTAAGAACTCCACCTAAGGCACATGGGAAGAGAACATCACATTCATGTACAAGCAGCTCATTGGGATCCAATGCATCCCCACCAGCAAAATCTTTCAAACTATTGGTTGCTTCTTTATGCTGTATAAGTGCTGGTACATCAATTCCATTAGGGTTCTTAACTGCACCAGTGATGTCACTCACAGCAATAACCTTACCACCTCTCTCATTAATAAGTCTTGCTACCCAAGACCCCACATTCCCGAAACCCTGAAACGTTCATCAATGAGAGAATATCAATAAAATTATACATCCCAATAATAAAGTCATTAAAGTTTCTCATAATGACATAGAATCAATTTTTGGTATCTATCAACCTGAATAACGAACGTCAATCCCTTAATCGACTTCCCATGTTCAGCAAGAAGAGCTTCTGTTGCAAAAACCACGCCACGCCCAGTTGCAGCTTCCCTACCCAGTGAACCACCAAGATCCTAATGCCATAAATTTGAGAGACAGATGAAAAAAGTTAAACTCTAAACTTCTTAAACACTTATTTAATTTGATTGAAGATCGAGTCTTAATATTTACAATAGGCTTTCCGGTAACCACAGCAGGGGAATGGCCATGAAATTTGGAATATTCATCCAAAATCCATGCCATAGTTTGGGCATTAGTGCCCATATCTGGAGCAGGAACATCTGTGTGAATTCCTATCAGATCATGGATCTTCTGCGTAAAGACACGAGTGAGACGTTCCAATTCACTCGTACTCAATTCCCTTGGGGTGCATCCAATGCCGCCCTTTGCTCCACCATATGGAATGTCTGCTACAGCTGTCTTCCAGGTCATTAATTGGGCCAGGGCATTTACTTCATCTGGATCAACCTTTTAAAAAACATTACAGAACATATCAATATAAAACCCAGACCATGTAAAAGCTAGTTGTTTATCCACTGACAGAAATCTGACAGCAAATAGGAAATTATGAATGATAGGGGCAGGATTATGGTTCATCGAACAAAGAAGGATTTATGACGTGGATTTTCCATTTAATATTCAGAAAAATGAAAACAAGTTCATCTTCATTAATAATTACGGTAAAAAGGTAGGCTTTTCCTTAGTAAAAATGAATGTCGGTGTTGACTACAAACAAGATATCTCCGCAAGAAAATTTTAAAGTTCCCCAATTTGTAGTCCTTCGTCGATCTATATTCGTGAAAAGACAGAATTTGACTTCCATATGTGTATATATATATATATATATATATATATATTTACGGCTTATCTTGAGCAAGCACTACTTTGATGGTTGGAAAATCTTAAAATAGAATTTTTTTTATAAAAAAAAAAAAAACTAGCTAACCCATCAATCATCTAGCAAATCTGAAAGAATTTCACTGATTTTTGAACTCCAAGCTGTCCCTTCGAGCATAACGGTTCCAAATCCAAAAGCACTTAACAAATGAATTATGTGAATATAACAAACAAGAAAAGTACCAAAGATCTAAAAATTCAAATCCCAAAAAAACCAAATCAGAAACCACCAACAGAATCACAAACAGATGAAAAGGCATCACAGTGAAAAAAAAATGAAGCTGAAAAATCCGATCACCTCAGGATGATATCTAATTCCTCCCTTCATCGGTCCACGTGCATTGTCATGTTGGACTCTAAATCCAACATACGACACCAGACTTCCATCGTCCTTCGGGATCGTGCACTCCACCTGTTCATTTCACGGTCAATCAAACACTAGCATCAATATAATCGGACAAGATCGTATCATAACAGAGAACAAGAAACGAAAGCAGGAACAATCAATCAGCAATGAAATTGAAATTAAGCAGAGGAGTGAGGATTAAACATTCAAAACCTTGATCTCTCTAAAGGGGATCAAAAGACTCCGTTCTAGTTTGGAGTCCAAGCCGAGAATACGAGCTGCCTGGCGGAAATTGCGGTTAGTTGCGGCGAGAGCATTCATGGCTGACTACGAATCTTAACGCAGAAGATGAGTGAGTATGAAAAGGAGATGAGAGGGAGAAGATGGGGGAAGCTGTGTATATATAGTAGAGGGAAGAGCCGAAGGCCATGGCTTTGAAAAGGTGGGCGCTGACGTGGATAATATCGCTTTTTAACGCATGGGAGAAGACGATTATTTTATTTATTTATTTTAGAAAATTAAAAAGGAATATTTTAATATAAATATTTTAAAAACTTTTTTTAAGTAATTTCATTTAATGGGGGAGGAAAGAGAGCAGCCGAAGGGGAAGTCAACCGTATTAGTTGGTAAATGCAGAAAATTAGGAATGATCTTGACCGTTCATTACAACTAAGTTTTGAACAATTCATCCGAACCAAACAAGACCTTTACATACACGACACGGTTAAAGTAATTTATTATTATGAGATGCCACGTGGCAGAGAGCGTACACTTTCAAACATCTTTGGCGGGTGAACCTAAACTTGGCTGGCAGTGACGTGGTGCCTCGACAGCGCCTGTAGATGTTATCCGCGTCGCCGCGTCCACCTTGATATGACGTGGAGTTTCCTTAAGTGGAGGAGGAAGCAAGTTTTGGTTTATTTATTTTTGGGAAAAAAATCCACAAATTTTTATTATTTATTTTTTGGTAAGGCCAATTTTGTTTATTTATTTATGACGTAATCTCCTCTCGCAAGTTTGGATTTTATCGATTTTTCGCCACCTGTACAGCTTAACTTCTTTCCATCCACAAAAATATATTTATTAATTATTTATAAAAGTGTACAACTTGAATTTTTCAACTTTTGTCCAAAACGTTATATAACAGAAAAGCTAGATGTAAATACGTTGGATTTAGTTTAAATTTCGACTTAATAGAAATACAAATTTAATACACATAAATCAAAAGAGAAAATGAATTTCAAGTGAATTTCGTTTCAAATTCAAGTTAAATGTTGGTAGTTTTAGGGGCACAAACTGAACGAAATTTATGTGATTTATAAATTGATATAAGCTGTCAATTCATACAACTAACGTTAGTTTGTAGGTATTTTTCATATCATCTTTAAAGATGTACATTGACTTTATAGAAATGTGATGGGTGACGAATGAAGAATTGTAATAAGACATTAAAGCAAAATATTAGATTTACTAAAAACGATTCTTCCACTCCTTTAATTAAATAATTCTTATAATTACAACAAAGTCTTTTTTGGGCTGTCTTTTCAAATATCCCCCACGGCTAATGTTTATATCACCTGTAATTAACCATCTTTATTTAGGTAATCATATTTTTCCCTAAACCAAATAGCTCTAATCCCAATCCTATCGTGGCCTTAATGTTTTTCTCAATATATACAACATATATATATATATATAGAGAGAGAGAGAGAGAGCATTAAACTAGGTATCTTCCTTTGAGTGCCAACGCATGAGTCAGAAGTAAAAAAAAAAAAAAAAATTATTAATTTATTTAATAATCATGATACAAGATCATTTTCTAAGTTAGATCATAAAACATTCTCATAACCCCTTTTAAGATACAAGTGTTGCGTATTATAATTGGTAACTAATTTCTTGATAAGTTTTATTAGGAACGTGTATTAAAGGTGGTCTAAGTTGGAATTACTTTATTATAATATCGTTATTATTCATTTTGTAAAAGACGTATTGCAAAAACACACAATGTTTTTCACGTTTATAATTTGTGAGCTATAAATGTTATGTACATACATATATAATTTTGGTCACAGGGACAGAAGTTGCATATTTTCCTATTAATTACGGCAATAGTTTTATTTTTTTTTTATCCAAATAAGTACTTAATTAAAGATTGCAATTGTTAGTGTTATTCCATTATCAAATTACTAAAAAGTTACTAATCTAAACACTGTAAGAATTGAATACTCGTAATATTTAATTATTAGAAAATATCTAAATACCTGGTAATTAGAATACCAGAACTTCTGGTTTAACGTTTACATTTAGGCTTAATTTAGATCGACTAAAAGGTGGGTAAAGGAGCAAGAGAAAGAGCTGATCTTGCTGCTATCTCGGATCCAAAGAATCAGAACTCTTGTGCTGCAGAATCTGCATATATATTGTATATATTATATGAACCAGAACTACGTTGTCTTCTTGTGCTAAGAGATTTTCCTCTCTACCTCACCGCATATAATCATCATCAAATATATAAAGATACTGGCGGAAAAATGAAAACATATTGATCACATTAAAAAGTGCCCATGTTTGACCGGAAAATAACATAACTAGTGCGCAACATCCATGTCAAAATGTAAACGACCAAGTAGTTGGTAGTGCAGAGCTCAGGGATATACCAATGAGGATTGCAAAAGCAACAAAATCAGAGCTGAACAAATGCCCAGTGATCCTGCAAAATTATATCTTTGTGAGAAATTATTTTACATTTCTATTACTTACTGAGCTGATCAATAAAATTTACATGGTGAACTTTTTATCAAAATATCAATAAAAATAAAAATCTCCACAGCACAAATATAATTTATCTACCTCTTTATACCTACACCTCGAGTATGCTGGTAAAACTAAGATATGTACTTTTGACTGGAAAAAAGAAAAGAAGCCAAAAAGGGTTATAGACAACTAGGAACCATTCAAAAACAGGGATCTGCTATGTAAGTATTCAAGGTATATTAAACACCAACTAACAACCAAATTTTTTCATCGTACACATGCATTTGAATTGCCAAAAGGAACTAAACCATAAGCCTTTATCATCTTGACAGACCGTACTCCTGTACTTCATTCCTGAAGTTTCCAGGGGACTTTTTTCCCCTATTGTCGTATAATATCCACAAAGCTATATTTTATAGATTGTTACTACAATGAAGTATTTTCTTTGAAACAAATTCTGTAAGGAAACATAAAGATGCCAATGGTGAAGGCATCCCAAAAGAAAGGGAAAAATCAAAACATTAACCTTCAACATATTTTCGCTTTAAATCCCACTGTCAAAACTCTGTAAGTCAGTTCTAAACAAGGAACCCAATTTTTTTACTTCATAAACAATGCTGGCAGACATAGATTACCTCAGCAGAAGTCTGTCCAATGTTGTTTCTATGGTAGAATATGAAGAATATCAACCTTCCTTCCTGTAACCAAACTACATATACATTAGAATCATTTCCTTCTTGTTTGCAAGCAACTGCCATTTATGTTTTATAACAAAAACAATTATTTTTCATGAAAATAACTGCCCAATTAATCAATATGTTGAAGAATTATATACTTTCTCTTTCTTCGATCAATTCCAGGTGGACCAGTATTTCTCATATCGTTCTTTGCAAGAGAAGATCCAGGAGGTATTGCATATTGCATTGGAGAAAGAGCTGGAGAAGAAGCAGTTGTCATAGCAATAGTTGCAGCTGGCACAGGTGGGATAGAAGCTGCGGGTGGGGAAGGACCAGTAGGTTCAAGAAGAGGCCGCGGCAAAATGTGTTTCAGTCTGTTGTTTCTGTAGTTCTTCCAAAAGTAGAACTGCTGTCTGTGTGCCAATTCCTAAGAGATTACAAGTGACACCAATTTAGTTCAGAACACACATCAATGTTTCTTTTTCAGCAGAAGTAGAATATCATCTATGAGGAACCAAAGAGTCCCAGCAATGTACAAAACTATAAAACAGAAAGTTAGAGAGCAAGAGCCACCAATGTAAAACTACACAAAATAGAAAATTACAGTAGTGACTCGGCCAAATATCAACGACCTCTTCCAAGTCTTCCACATCAAATACATTCTCTCTCAAAAAAAAAAAAATCTACCTCGCAGAGGATAGATTGATCTTCAAACAAAAAACTCCTAAAGATCTGGAACAGATGGTCTCTAATGCTAGCAAAATTAGACACAATGCTGGAATCTCCTATTTCCTTCCTTTCAAATAGTCCAAAAATGGCATGAGGAATAAGAGCTACAAACAGGAGATCCTTATTTTATCAAAACTAAGGGCAACAAGAACACTCACATATTCCTCAATCTCTCTGTCTTGAGGTTTCTGCAAAGATCAATGTGCCATGATATTGAACAACATCGCCCCACCCCCAATCACCCAAAAAAAAATAACAATCTGTTTCTGCCGCTTCTTTCTTCAAGGTTAATTTGTGAATCATCAGAACATATTTCTCCTTGATAAAAATGAAATTTTCATCCCTTCAGGCCATCAAATGAAACAAGAAGTTTCATTTACATGTGAAAACATTACATAGATGCACACCCCATACACTTGCAAAGAAAAAATTGTTATGATGGTGCAATTACATGGGAATATTACATATAACACAGGCATACACGCCCTTCTATATGTGCTTCGGGCGCATTGAATTGTTCTATTTAGCATTTAAAAAGAAATTAACACAATAATTTGTATATATTATTATCATGAAAAAACTAAATAAATGAAAACACATCTAGACTGATTAATAAATAAAATAATTTTTATTTAATTAATTTTAACTATCAAGTAATATTGCTATCTAAATAGCTTGAACTAATGAAAAAATACCGCTTATCACCATCTTAAAACAGCAAAAATCAATATTGTGGAATAAAGAAGTCTTTATATATATATATATAAAGAGTGAACCTGCATACAAGGACTTTACAAAGCTACCTGCTAATAAAATTCCCAAGATCCTTCAAAGAATTGACAAGGTCCATTTCCCATCCACAAGAGGAAAATTAATGAGGTACAACCTATCAAAAATATTCCTAAATTCTTTGGTACAACAGTTTGAGAGGCCCTGAAGACTGTCCAAAACTGACAAGGGTGATGCAGAATGGGCTAGCACTAAATTTCCTAAATAATTGAAAATTATAATTATATTAAATGTAACAGATATACTATTTAGGAATCTATTATTATATTATTTAGGAGTACTATTATAATCTTAGTAATTTAGGATTTCATTCTTAGTAGTATTTTTCTATTTGTATTAGGATTAGTATTCATAATATTATTAGTTTAGTTCCTTATTCTCATTAGGATTAATATTCTTAATTCTACTAATTTATTATTTCTTAGTTTAATTTTATTTAGGAAAAATTACTTAGAAATCATTATAAATACCTTTCTAATTTCACTTATTAGAGCATTCAAGTATTCAATAATAATTTTCAGAATTTCTCATAATATATTGTATGACTCAATCAATTCTTAGGTCTGATGCCTAAGAACCCCTAGGTGCGATATCTAGATTTTTTTTTTTTCCAAATTCTTAGCAGACAAATTAACTCTAATTTGTCCTACAACACAAGGATCATGCTAAATCACCCTAAATGACCCAAGACAGATACCACAAGCTCAAAATCCTTTTACAAAAGCTGTCTCCCAAGACCTTCACCTCTCTTGTACAAACCACTAAAAATCCATGAGAGAGAGGAGTTCTTACACCTAATCCAAAAGATAAAGACACAGCCCCTTTCAGGCACTTAACTGTATCAAGATTATCAAAGTTTCACAAAATGAAAATACCAACTAAAGCACCCATACAATGAGATTAAACCAACTCACCTCCCTACTAGTCCACAAACTTCTTGACCAAATAATCCTCATCTTGTCCATCTTCGTCTCTTCAAAATAGCCAACTCCCTTTTCCATTCCTTTGACAAATCTTTAGTTATAGCTCCCTCACTCTAGTTGTTGAAACCTCTCACTTTCAATGAAATAATTTGATCTCATCATTGAAAATAGTAAGTGCTGCAATTCTCTCATATCAACCTTTTGGCCCTCCAGCCATAACTTAGAGAATACTCAAGTCTCTTAAATTCCTTTTTTTCTTAGAAGAAAATAAGTTTCATTAAAGAACACACAATCAAATTGATTCCAGCATGGTGACAAAATCTCTAACTTTTTTTGAGACTACAAGATGACAAAGAGGAAGGAAACAATTTCCCATCATCTTTTTCATTAAGGTCTATGCTCCCTGAAGACTTAGGACCAGAAGTAGCAGCTTAGATATAAGTCTTCCAATTTTAAGACCTCTTTGAGCCAGTAACTCCTTCACCTTGCTTGATAGAGGAAGTTTTCTACTCAGATTTAAATAGATTGGCTTGACAAGACCAAGATCTGGCCCAATAACTAACAGGGCATAAAACAAACTTTAAAAACTTTCTCCAACCAAGAAGGGCATGGTGGCCTCTCCACCATCCCATAAACTAAACTTAAGGCGTAAATTGAGCTAATTGCCAAAAAGATCCTCCATTGGCCATTCATTTCAGTGCCTTCAGCGATCACTAGTCTTAGATAGCCCCCTCCATTCTTCTCCTTAAGCTGCAGGTGACTACCCAGTGAGACCTCTACTCTAGAATTTGTTGGACCTCATATCCAAAAGAATTCACAAAAAATTTGAAAAGCCATCTAATTTCCTGGTTGAAGAAATTAAAAGAAAAATTCAGCTTAACACCATTCTCAACGATCCTGAGAATGTCTTAAACTTCAACCTCTTGAAACTACACCAAGAGATTTCTTCTCCATCACCAAGAATTCCTTGGTGGGAGAAAAGGCATTGTAGTAGCTGAGAAACACTCAATCAAGCAATCATCCAGAAAATGAGATGGAGAGAATTTTCTGAACTTAGAAAGTGAGAGCATTCCTAGATCTCCTTTCAATTAAATGGAACTCGTCAAAACTACAATACTTCCTCATCAGTTGAAAAGAAGACCAAGGAAAGAAAAACAATTTGGAAGACATTAAATAAAAAAAAGTAGTTTGTTCCTATGCATCTCCAATTTCCCGTTTTAACAGGCATATTAAATAAAAAAGTTATTGAACGAGACTCCAAAGGCATTAGAATTGGACCTTGTTTCCAGGATGTGCCATGGCATTGCGGAAAGTAGGGTTCTGAAGAAGTTCAAGGAAAAAAAGGCAATGCGGATACCTGTAACCATCCTATAAGATAAGTACTTAGATCAAGGTAAAAGAAACCAAAAAAATATTTGATTCACAAGGTAACAAGAAGATCAAATAAAAACACCTACTTAAGAGACAAAAAGTCAATGAATCCTACAAAGTTTTCTTGCTTTACAAGAAAATCTCTATTTGCCTAAAAGTTTGAAGTACTCACTAGACTATCTTCCAAACCCTCAATCCCTCAAAAGCTCTCTTATTACTGTCATTCCAAAAGAGCAAAGAAGTGGGCAAAGGAATGACAACTAACACACAGTTAAGCTCACTAAACCAAAACCAACTGGAACCAGCTAACCATTGATAAAACATTACACTTGCTACCAATTCCAAAGGCTTTTTAAGACTTAGCATCTAGCCCAAGAATATAAAAAATTTACATAATTAGTGGATGTGGTTAGAAATAGATGGCTTAACACTTTTAGTTCTTCAATTTTGGATCATGACACTTATAGATTGGAAGATTTTGGGAATGTCATTGATCTCTTAATTGATTTGTTAAGTTTTTTGTACATGGGTCCTACCCCCTGGTACTTATAATACTACACTTTTTATCTCAAAAAAAAATAATGGATGTGGCATCTTGTTTACAAAAATAACACTGGTTCACCAGAATTTTTACTTGTCCTCAAACTATCAATGGTTAAGATTCTCCCCAAATAACCTCCCCAAGTAAAAAGGGGAACTCTAGGAAACACCACTTTTAAAGACATAGTCAGAAGCTATGTCTCTCAATTGGTTAATTGATCACAACCATCTTACAGAGATTTCCAAAATATTTCCCAGTTCACCCAAAACAGAAGATTTCTAAGTTCATCATCCTCCAATTTTGACATAATAAGAACATCCTAAAAGCGCCCAAAATATCAAGACTTTCCACCTCATGTTCCTTGCACCCGACAATCTCCTTACTCCTTTCTACACTACCCCCATTCCAATAATTGGTTGCACACCAAGTCACCTTTCCGTTCTCTAAGAAAATGATAGATAAATTTCTCAAGGTCATTCATCATGTCATATTCCAGCAATGGTGCCACAATCACCAAAACAAGACAAAAACTCCATGTAAAGTTGTCAATCGAACTCTTCAACTCCAAAGCAGCACTTGCTCAACAAGATAGGGCACTGGTAAGGTTAAATATGTTACTTTGACACTTGACGTGCATGCCAACATTTGTGATCCAAAGTTAGATGTTGTGCTCTATGATAATAAAAAGAAGATGACAAAAAATCTCAAGCTAGAAGTTAAAATAGGGCACTAAGATGGAACTACTTGCTCTTGAATGTCTCAATCTTGAATATTTTTACTAGTACTAATTAACCAATTATTATCTTTTTTAAAAATTAAAATATCAAGCTTCATTTACTATAAACCTGCCATGTCTTGTAGCAAAGGCTAATATTCGGTTATGCAAGACATTGTCATAACTTCCTCAAAGACTTACATTATAAATTTTATGTATTCTGGCCGTTGCCAGTATTGGAGGTATTTCAAGTAGCCAATGAAAGCTTCATCTTCGAAATAACGATTCTGAGCCAGATCTGCATTAAAAATTTAAGGGCCAAGATTCAAGAAAGAATTTGTAATCAGAACACCACTAAATTGAACTTATCAGGAATATGGACGCGGTGAAAGAGAAGAAGACCAAAGAAGAGGAACACTGATTAAAAAAGCAGTTTACTGACTAAGAAATTTGCTCAAGTTACATACGTAGCAGAGTCTGCATGTATACACACATAGAGATGTAAGCATAGAAGTATATATTGGTCATGTTAATTTGAGAAGCTGTCATAAAATCAAGCTAGGAATACATCAATTCTTCCTCATCGCCTAAAACTTCAACATGATCTTAGTGAATTAAGAGTTGGAAATGCCAAAGAAACACAGACTGTTTACTTATTTATTTTTGCAAAGGAACAAGAAAAAGTTGGGTTGTTTATCAATTAACACCCTCTATGTTCAATTGTGAATATATAAACCATAAGCTTTGGTATTTCACCATCTGTTCAATTTTGGTCAATTTTAACAGGACTAAAAAGGATATTGCCATATTATATAGTTTGTTTGATTGATTTATAAATTTTGTTACATGTAACCAAAACCAATCCTTCCGAAAATCACATTCTCCCTGCTTTTCAAACACCCGGCTCTCTCTCTCTATCTTTTCAAAAAAGAATTTCCGGTGTTTAGTTTTTTTTTTGTTTTACATAAAAATTTCCAGTGTTTAGTGATGCCAACATATGAAGAGAGTAAGTTATTGTTATAACAACCACACAACACACACATCAAAATAAAAGCAAAAGAGCAAGAAAGAATACAAATAATTTTTTCACAAGTCTGTGATATGCCTACTCCATGGAGCCAACTACAAAAACTTTTCGCTATTGAAGCAGCACTCTTACAACTACAGTTTCCTCCATATATAGCAAGTGGGAAATCCAATTTTTATAAGAATATGCCCCTTATAACAAAAAGCTGCCTAGGCCCAGAACAGCATACCAGAAATCTTCTGTAAGCCACAACTCAACAGAAGCATGATACAGATGGTACCTGAGAGGGTGGGAGGGGTGGGGGAGAGCAGTGAAGCCGCTGGTGGTTTTCCCCCTCTGTTTCATTTTTGTTTTTTATTAAAGAAAAAGATTTCCTTTTGATTTTTGTTTCTTTAGAAACACAGTGTGCTGGTATTTTCAGGCTTTTCGATTTCAATGCAATAGTTAGATTAGGTTCAGTTCAGATGCAACTTTTACACTTTGTTGAAATGGAAGTATCATTAGGTTAAGTGTAAATAAAATAACAAAATATAAGTTGACAACAGTGTTATTTATAATTTGTTAAAACAACCATATTTTAACAAATGGTGTTATTTGATTATTTCTAAAAGTTTGAGGTCACAGTTGAAAATACAAGATGTTAATTGATTAACAATCCAAAATATTAGGTGCTGTCGGACGTTTCTTCTTATATTTACTGTTAATTGATTAGCAACCCAGAATATTGGGTGCTGTTTGACATTTCTTCATATATTTTTTGTCAAGGAAAGAATTTCTAACTTCAGTGTTGTTGTCTAAGACTCTGACAAATCCCAAGAATAAACACCAAATTCCTAAACACTTACAGGCCAAAGGATCTTGAAATCTCATTTTAAAATATCATTGCACTTTACTCTAAACCACAAGATTTAGATGAAATCCACAAGAACAACTCTTGAATCATTGAAAACAGTGACAAAAGTTAGAATTTAAACTAAAGCTCTTTCCATTCTTTAAATGAATAAATCATCAATAAGAGAACCACATTTCCCATAACTATCCTCAAATTCCTGAAGAAATAACAAGAAATGCAGAGCTCCCTAATCCCCAACCCTTTTTAATTGTTACTCAGATTCCAAGGTGAGAGCAAGGAATTAAGCATCAAAAGCTTCTAAAAGTTTTTTTTTTTTTTTTTTTTTTTTGAGAGGACTTTGGAACATATTTTTACCCATCTAATTTATGTTCCATGATGATGCAAAAATTTCTATCCCATACTGCAGTAAATGATCTAATGAGAAAAGTACTTCATGCAGAATCACAGCAAGGTTCTACTATAAACTTACAGTGGATGTAGGTAGGATTGCCGAGACACTGAACAAATTCCAACTCAAGTAAAAACCGCTGTCGCCCATCATCTGGATCCTTGTATATGTTCTTTGGTCTGAAAATCATCTCATAATTTCTTAATAAAATTAAAGCTAAACTGAATAAGATCATTATGAACTACAGAAAAATGGTGAGAAATAAACAAGTAATTTGCATATAAGAACTAAAAAACTCATAAAAGAACAAAAAGTTTCTCCATTCCAATTAAAAAATCTTTGTTCTCTTCTGTTTTATTCTCCAGCAACCAAATAGAGACAATCGAGATATATTGAGAGCATTAATTAAAAAAAAAAACTATAATGCAAAATTGTAAATTCAAAAAAAAATCAAATGGAGAAAATAACAGGAGCTTACGAGGAAGTATTTGTAATCGCGTCATCACTTTCTTTACTGGATGCCATTAAATCCTTCAAGAAAAAAGGAATAATAAGAAAAAGAAATATATTCATGCATATAAGAGAGAGCTACTCTAGAGATGCAGTAAATTAAATACCAACAGTTTTCAAGCAGACATATAATACGTGTCGTTTTATATATACAGAAATTATAAACACTTAATTAAGTAACACTGCAAACATAGGCATAACTTTATTAAAGAAGAAAGTATAATCTGGATAAGTGATCAAGTGAAAAATTTGCTCTTATATACATGTACATACTTATATAATCCCCACACTAAAATGAGAGAGACTGTGGCAAGATAACATGTGCTTTCACAAATCCTGGTGTTGTAACACCCATAAAGATTAAAATAAAGGAATGCTGGGACTCGTCAATAATGGGTGGAAGAGGATGAATTGAAGAAGAGAAGGTTATAGTTGGTAGCTGGAGACGGTTTCAGAGACAGAATAAAGGAAGGAGAGTGAGACCCTTGCTGCAGTGCCACTTGCAGGGGGGAGCTGCTACTGAAAGAAGGAGGGTGTCACCAACAATGGGCAGAACGGCAGAAAAGGAAGAACTGAAAAAGAGATGGAGTTGGAGAGTAAAGTGGTGGAAAGTTTGAGAGAAGAGACATCGACAAAAGGGGAGAGAGACAGTGAGACTTGAGAGTTGAGATGGGGTGATGTGTTCAGGTTTTTATTTTCTTAGTTTTATATCTGCAATTGCATTTTTTAAAATATCTTTCATATATAATCAGGTCGAGTTCAAACGAATTTTTTATTTATAAAACTAGACTCAATCCAATCTTCTTCTTTCATCCAAGAAAACCAAAACTCAATCTGGCACACAAAGAAAATTAGCCTGATCCCATCCTGCCTGACTTGAGATTTTCTTCAAAAATCATTAAAAGAGTTGAAATGGATCCTTCCAGATCCAATGGCTCACTGTTTTCTCGTCATCTCAGAATTCGTACTTACTCTTTATCACCTCATGCAATAAAGAAAAATATTTTGAAGGAAAAAACTAGATTCACTTAACCAATAAAGGCAGGTTTTTTAGATGAGAAATTCGCAATGGCTAAACCACCATTTGCCTGGGAAGACAAAACATATCCCAGCATACTAAATTGTCTCTTGAAAAATTTCCCTCTCAGACCATAAGAAATTCCCTATTATCATCTCTACCTCAACAAGCACCCCCGTAGAAATGCTAAACAGCAAGAGATAAGGACTACAGTACCACTTGGAGAGATCACACCACCGTTCCAATACTAAAAACTCCTAGAGACCCTACTCGCCACTGGGTACCAAAAAAACTGAGTCCGAGAGTTACCACCAAGCAGAACGCCAATTGTAAAAGATCAACATAATCACATCATATCGATGAACCCCGCAAGCCTAGAACAAAAGTTCATCTTATAACTTCAGTGTTTTCATTAATAAAATTACCCTCCGTCTTTCTTGACTCCTAGCTCTCTAATTCGTATTAGAAGTCAGTCCTATATTTCTATCAGAAGCCCTACTAAAACCCGCTCCATAACCTTAATCGTTATTGATCGACTCATCCAATTACATAACAAGAAGTGGATAACGAAAGAACCATAACTAGAAGCAGCAAAGCAATTGAAGTATAAGGCATCAGGCATGTTTGAAACTCATTCAATGCTGTTCCCTACTTATGAAACTTGAGAACATATAATCACCAGGAAATCAATTACATTTTCTAAAATTCCAATTGTAATATTAACGCATAGATACCTGAAGGAACAGAACTAAAGCCTTGAAAGCAAATGGACACCGAGCTGTTCCCTTCACGAACACAGAGGTAATCCCTAGCAGAAACCTTTCTTACCTCTTCTGAACTTCGACCAATAAAACCTTTTAAAAGATTGCTCTATGCCCTAATTTCCCCTTCTGCAGATTTCAGCAAAAAGCTCCACTACGCGCACACGCTCTCTCTCTCTATCTCGTTTTTTTTTTTTTTTTCTGTCGACTCTCAAAGGAAGAACATTCCCCTCAAATTCCTTCGGTCGGTTGTCATTTTTTCACTTCGCTGCGCAGATGCCTTCCTCTCTTTTTGCTGCTCTCGGTTTTCCTTTTCCCCGCGATAGCTTTCTCCTTTCAGATATCAGACTTCCTCTCTTCGTAGGCAAAACAGAACATCCTCGGGCCTCTCAACATCCTTCTCTTCGGAGGCTTCTCTCAGGCGCGTCGCTTGTTAAGTGTAAAAAAGAATCTTTTGAGCTCTCTGGCGTGATGTTTCTTTCAATTGCACGAACCTAATTCTAGACACAAATTGTTCGAAAATAAAATCAATACCTTTTTTTTTTTGGGTCTACTTATATAGTACGAGTGAAAATTGGAAACAAATCTAAGGTATTACGATACTAATATTATTTACGTTTTTTTTTTTGGAGTGAAAATATTATTTAATATTTTATTTTGTGATTTATATGTACGTGAAAGCTTTCGTATCATAAAAAAGTGAAATTAATTTTATGAAAGCCAAGAACAAAACTCTGACCGAAAACACACCCCATCTATACATACAAAATGCGTATTTTGTTTGAGAATTTCTTCATTAACACACAGAATAATCGTCTCAGTTCTTGCCACAGGGGGATTTGAACTACTTTTTTTTGCTTGATAGTTTCATTGTTTGGATTATTTTACAGAATACAGTTGAAACTTAGTAACATGTCAAAATACCTAGCCCATAATCAACACTAATTTAGTATGATATAAGAGAATATTTGTTGAACACAAACATTAGGGCATTTGTTTAATTTGTTTTAGAAAATATGTATTCCCGTATATATACAAATTAATATATCAAAATATTTAGCTTACAATGAGTAATAATCTCATTATAATAATAAAAACATTTGTTCAACATTAAATTAGGGCATCTCGTTTACGGGGAAAAAGATATACTGTAAAAAGAACTCTTATCTAAATTCTATATCATAAAACATCCCTTAAATTAAAATTATCCAATACTTTAAAACCATGCAAAACCAAAAATATCAGACAAGAATCCATAACTATAAATCCTATCTGCTACAACATTTGCATAACTGCCTCGCCTCTGGGCGATCGAAAACGAACGCAACATCAATTATTTTAGCAGGCCTTTGGCATGCAAATACAATATGAGGTTTTCCCTCTCCCTACAGATTACAGAAGCAACAACTGCGGTCACACCATAAACCATCAAGAACCGGTGCCTTCTCACAATTGCAGCTGCTACTAATCAAGCTCCATTAGTATGGCCTGTATCGCATGGGACGCCTAAACCTGGGAACCCTCCTGCATGCCCACACTCACTAAGTTCAGTAACATGAATACCAAATAGTTTCTTCTTTATGCATGGATCAAGGAGGGCAAGGAAGCAATGACAAAGTTAAAACAACTAATGATATCATATTGATGGTGTTGACCGTGTTACCAATGTCAGCTGAAGAAAAATCACATGATGTTGCATCTTTTAATAAAGTTTAAACAAGATGTTTACAAAACCAAGTTGGCAAAGACATTAAGTATCACGCAAACTAACAAAGCCGATGGTTTATTACGTGATGTATCATACAGCAGACAACAAAGCTGGTACATTGGTTATTATAAGAAATAATTATTTTCTGCTAACTTTCTATTACTTCTGATTTACTAAGCTTACATCATTATTGATGAAATGAAAAGCTAAAATGTTTTGGAAGAAAGAGACAATTGATGTTAGATTCCTTTTGTTATGCGGTAATAGACTGTTCTACTTACCCATAGCCATATGAAGGATAAAAAGGAGGAGACGGCATGAATGCCCTTGGGGTTCTAAAAAATGGATTGGGCCGTCTTCCTCGATATTGTTTCATCCCTGGAATGTTTGTTCGCTTTGCAGAGACCTGCAGATGACCCAAATAAACAAGCAAATATAATTTGCAACTATAAGTTACCCGCTAATTATCACAATACAATTAAAAAATCCACATACCTTCAACTGTCGACCATGCAATTCAGATTCATTCAATAACAGGGCATTCTGGACAGCATCAAGTTCAACAAACTCAACATAAGCAAATCCCTTTGGCTGGCCAAATTTATCAGTCAAAATTGTCACCCTGTTTACAGTTCCACAGGATTGGAAATGCTGCTGAACTTCCTCGGGAGTGCATGAATAGTCAACCTGAAGTAACAAAATATAAATAGGATAAGAACTCCATATTCTTTTGAAGTCTAAAACTGTTCAGAGACTCACTACTAGTATACAAACAATAGACATAGTAAAATCTTTTTCAGCACCGCCATAAAAACTCCCACAAGCTATAAAATATCTTATTTAAATTATAACTACTGCCCAGAGGGCAAACCATATTGCAATAGCAGAAATTTCCCTTCCCCTTGGTAACTAGAAGCATGGACCAGTACCACATAATGGTTTGAACCTGTGACCTCCTAGTGGGCAAGAATGTGACTCTTTACACCTTGAGTTACACCTTGGGCTCGAAGCATATATAAATTACTCGTACACAAGGTTTAGCTTCCCCAATAGTAATTAAAAATATTAATAGTATGCCATTATAATTATTTCCCAGAAGGGGCCTGAGTATTCTGAGAGATGCATCCTAATTGACTGACGGAGAATGTGAAGATCCTATGGATATATTTCAAAACTAAGTAACATTTATATTATTAAAATGCTTACATATTATTTAAGCATTTACCTCATATAGGAACTAGTATATCTATGCTTATTAGTAGTACGAGTTTAAATTTCCTAACTTATTTAGTTATTCTCTTTTATAAGTTATTCAATTAATTAATTTTTCAAAAGGTAAGTTCAATATCTATATTCTTTCTACTTCGACATTTCAAAATGTGGGATCAATTTTTCGTGAAATGTATAACAAGAAGATCCTAAAGTGAAGATATTTCATTACTACGAAATATTTATATAATTGTAATTATGTGTTATTAAGCTACTTAGTTTATTTTGGCACTGATACCTAAGGACTTATTAACGGTATCCTTTTATTATTTCTTATTTACTTAGGATCTTATTAGTGATTCTTTATAAATTATTCAATAAATTAGTTTGTTTCCCTCTCTAGCAGAATTTCCTAAGACAACAATTCCTATTTTCATTCTGTTATGATACATATCAATAGGGTATTCCACTATTTTTTTTATAAACCATTCCTATGATTATCATACAAATATTACCTTATTTATTTGATTATCAAAGGGATGAAATCAAACCAATCACAAAATTGTGCAAGAGTTTGTATAGACAGATTTAATGCTACGAAGCAAATTACTATAAGAACGCTAACCAACAAACTGAAACAGTGTAGGTCACACTCCACGACAGTTCCTAGGTTACGTTACTCATCAGACAGCTATGTCTCAAAGTGGAAATAAGAGCCATATAAATTATGAAAATCAAATCGATAATACGAGCGTTATGTTGTAAAAAGTAAAAAGCACCGGAAAAGATTGTAAAACCTCACATTACCAACATAAATGGATCGAGAATCCACTTCCTCTTTTTCTGCCATAGTTGCTGAACCACTGGAGGTATCTTCATATGCATTCAAGAAAAAGATGGAAAAAAAACACCAGTCAAATTAACTACACTAAGAACCATTCGTAGAGCTTGAAAACTTGCCGTGATATTTAAGATATGCAACAAAAAATATCATGCATAAAGCTTAAGACAACAACTACCTATATGTATCTAATGTCAATATCTACGTAGAGCACTACCAAGTTAGTTAAAAACCAAGCAACGCCTGCATTATGCAAGTAACCAGAAAATTTCTTTCCATCATCCAAAAAGGACGATAAGATAATTCACAGAAACAAAAAAAAGGAAAATCAAGTTTTACAATAAATTGATTGATACAACTCTGCCGCAATCAAAACACAAGAAAAACAACCCTAAATCTGATTTTTGTTATACAGCACCAACAGAAATAAATATTAAGGTCAGAAGAATTTCATTCCACTAAGAAATCACAAATAGGAAAAACAAAAGAAAAAAACCTTGAACAGCGCCCATCTCCTTCTCAACTTTGGCCTGCATCTCGCGGAGAGCACCAGCTTCCTCCTCGATCTGTTTGAGACGTTTCTTCATGTCCTCCAACTCCTGAGAAACAAAACAAAGAAAAAATAATAGGAAAATTAGATAAAACCCCAAACGGGAAAGAGAACATGGAGCTTAAAGAAAGGAGACCTTTGAGCTAGAGTTGGGATCATGTCCATGGTCGTGCTCGTGTTCATGGTCGTGTTCCTCGTAGTCTTCGGCCACAGCAGACATATCCAGATCAGCGTCCATCTCTCCTTCGTCCGGGATCTCGCCTCCGTACACTTCGTGCTCTTGCTCTTCGTGTTGGTCCATCTCTTCCTATCTTTACTTCTTCTTTCTCTATCTCGATCGATCCGCCTTTTCTACTTGTCTGGTCTGATTCAGATTTGGGGTTTTTGAAGCTCTGACGGTGCTCGAGTTGATGTTGAGGAGGTGCTGCGAAGGGCTAGGGATTGGCGATTGCGACTAAGGATTTTCCTCTTTGGCTGAAATTTATACGCACACTAGACTGACTAAAAGAAATTCACTAGAGGCACTTTTGGATTTTACCTTCTCCTTTAAAAAATAAAAAATAAATAATAGTTCTTTTACTCTTTAATAATATTTTTAGAGACCCATTAAACATAAATTTTTTATTTGAACTTTACGTAGTCAACAAATTAAATTTTTTTGGTCATAAAATAATTAAATTTGTAATTTCTTGTTATTAAAATAATTTAAAGTATTTTAATTTTCAATAAAATAAAACTTTAAAATAATTTTCTCTAATTAATTTTTTTTTTTTAACAAGTAGTTTATAACTAAGCAAACCCTACTTGAAGTTCAGACTACTACTGAAGTTATGTCGAGTATCTATTGAATCAATCTCGCTTAAAAAAGAAATTCTACCTTTATACAAAATAAAGATAGTTAAATAACAACAATTACTTGTTCTATTTTAAAATATAATTTCAATAATCTTAACATATTTTTTTCTTCGTAACTCTTTGTTAAGAATAGCAAAATTTAACAAAATTCATTTATTTGATATGTGAGTTTATATTTAATTTAATATATTTATATTATTTATAAGATAAATTTGTTTGTATTTATTAAAAAATATTTAAAAATACAGTAATAGTCAAATAATTTAATCTCAATTCATCTCTTTAACTTACTTATATATATATAATTTAAATCATATATAATATAAGATATAAATGTTAAGTGTGTTAGTAAGTCAATTCAAATTTTTTGATTGGTTAATTCATGTTTTATAATAAATAAATTCACTTATTTGCAAATATGTCATATATGATTTGAAAGACTTTACTAAAAAAATAATAATATACCAACCGGGAATGGTAACGTTTCATTCCATATATTAAATCAACATGTTAACATATGACTTTTCACATTTTACCTTTCTTACTCTTTCTTTTTTTTTCTATATATTATTTACTTCTGAAAATAGAAACCAAAGTTGTTATTAGTCTTTTACCAATATTAACATTCAAATATTGTCTTTTAAAATTTAATTTACTTTTTTTAATATATTTAATTATTTAATAATAAAATCTTATATTTATTTATTTTTTTATTAAACACATGTTTTAATTCAAATAATATTAATGTATCTTTTTTATTAATAAATACAGTTTTTATTATATATTGTGGATATAATTTATATGTTACGATTCTGAAAGCTTCAAATTAAAATACAGTAAAAAAATTATACAGAAATCTATAATAGTTCATAATGATGATTAGTAATGATAAAATTATATTACATATTATAAAATTGTAATACCCGAAATTCATTTGTAAAATTTAAATTTTATGTATAAAATTTAATTTTTAATTTTATAAATTATTATTTAATTTAAAATTATGAAAAAAAATACGTGGATGATAAAATTGAAAATAATTTTAGGGAAAATTGGTGAAAATTAGGGTTTTAGAGGTATTTTTGAAAGAAAAATCGAAAACTATTGGTCAAAATATAATTTAAGAATAATATGCCACGTAGAACGCTTAGTCAGTAGTCCCGACGAACCGTAGCGCGCCACGTGGTAAGACACGCTGACATGGTACTAGGGGGGATGTCACGCTGGCGATCCGTATGCCTGCGATTGAACAGTCCACATTTGTTCCCACATGCGTGGACGGTTCGGATCCGTTCCCCCTTCAGACCCGATTAGACGGTCGCGATTAAACGCGATGAACGGTCCAAATTCACTCCCTATCTAAACGCGATCAGACGGCCCAGTTCAAATCGCGATGAACGGTCTAGGTTTACTTCCTACTTAAATGCGATCGGACAGTTTAGATCAAACACGATGGACGGTACAGATTAAAAAGATATTTAATTGGTGTCTCATATTAATAATTAGTATATTTTCTTTAAGTAACTATGTATTTTAAAATGCACAAATTCCAATTTACCTCATATTACTTTTTTTACTTCTCAATTTTGATGAATTAGAATTTATTATTATTATTATTACTTTTCTCTCTAAAAATAAATATAAAAAATAAAGGAAAAACCCAAAAAAAACTCAATCTTTTTATCTTCCACTCCTTCCCAAGTCTCACTCATTTTTATTGTGGGATATTACATATTTTAAATGAAAAAAAATATATATGTATTTATATATTCTAAAATATATTTCAACCCATTTCAAATGAAATTAGGTCCAAGCTAAATTCTCATCGAGGGTACTTTAAAACCTTTTTTAAGCCCAAACTAAGAAACCAAACAGCAC